TCTATAAGTGAAACGACATTGCAGGTCCCTTGATGTCTCACTTAACCAGGTTTCACTGTAAATAAATAAATTAGGTAAATATCCAATGAATTGACAGATTGGGGTAGGTTGATCTGGTGGTCTTGGGGATGTCCCCGTCACACCGTTTTAATGGACCAGAGACGGTGGCGCGTTGCGTCCGCGACACGCGCGCCACCGAGTCGTAGCACGGAAGAAATCAACACCTCACTCTTCTGCGCATCTTGAAGTGGAGCCTGCCTGCGGAAGTATAGTGACTCCCGCATCCTCGTATGCACGTGTGAGATGGAACACCGGGTTGGGTTTTAGTCAGTCTGAGTCTTTTTTGTCCTCCTCAGGCGAGGGGGCTCCATGACGATATCCCACCTTGGAGTCAAAAAAAGAGGTTGATCTGCCGTCCACTAAACAATAAAACATGCGTTGGGTAACTAAAATTATTTATTCAAACTCAACATCACATAATCCTTTATACACGCGACTTTGTCTTATATACTAAATATTTATACAATAACTAACTATTCGTTATAAAATCAACTTTTAAAATAGAGCATTTTGTATCGGAAATATACTATTGGGACCTAACGTGATCTGAAAGCACGGGATTGGTCAATTTAAGCTTCATTGGATAGAAAAATCTATAGACGGAGACGACTCCGTATTTTTATTTTTAATCTTATACTATTATATAGGAGAGTTTGTTTATTTGTTTGAACGCGCTAATCTCCGTAACTACAAGTCTGATTTCAATAATTCATTTTGTGTTGGATAGCGCATTTATCGAGGATGGCTATAGGCTATAAAACATCACGCTATTACCAATAGAAGCTGAACAGAGCGTGTGAAATCGCGCGGAAGTAGCTAGTTCAACTATATAAACTGTAAATTCAATTGTGGTGTTATTGTAAATATTTTATAAAGTGTCTCACTAACGCATTATGTTATATAATGTACTTGTAATGATAGCTGTAAGAGTTGAAAGGAAGAAATAAATAAATATATTTTTATTCACGCTTACTCAGCAGATTGGCGATTTCCAACAAATTATGATATAATTAGAAATTATAAGCCCAGATTTCCTCACGATATTTTCCTTCACCGTTTGTCAGTGGTGTCTAGATAATCTTAGAAAGAACATATAACTCGGAATAAGTCGCATTGGTACTTGCCGTTGATAGGTTACGAAACCGTAAGCATGAGAAGCGTTATATAAACCTCCGGGCGACCACATACAAGAGAGTATTTGTACCTAGTGAATAATATTATAACAAAACTCGAGGATTAACCAACTATGAAGTGGTTCGGATCACATAAAATTTCAATAGAACATTTCCGACTATGTTCGATATGAAATGGAAACAATTGGTCATTATTTTGAGGGTTTTAGATAAGACCAGTATACATTGACCTGTCTGAAATTTGCAATAATCGTATTGTCTCTTTTACTAGTTACAAAATGTAGTCCATTCATCTCGCTCTTCAGTTTAACATGTATTAACAGAGAGGCCAAAATATGTTAGATATAATAATTTTATACAGATCCAAAAGTTAACAATTCTTTTTGGTAAACTTAATTTTAAAGTGTCAAACATCATTAAATATTTATATAATACAGGAGTGAACTATAAATCAATTTGTTTCAGAGTGAACTGACCCAGCCAACTTCGTTGCGCTAGAGAATTATTGACAGTTGCCATAAACAAAAATACCAGAAAATTAATAAATTTTATTAACAAATATGCAGCTTTAACAGATTCATAAATCAATTAATGGTGGTGAAGATCCATCCGGCCGTTTTATGTTTAAAGTGACATAGGTTAATCGACAATATGACAAAAACATTTTTGTACAACAAGCTGCCAAACTATAATATGTAATACAGTCGTAACTCAATGGATTGTCCATTTTCAACAATCAAAATATTATATTGCATTCCCTTTGAGTAAAAACGTTTCGTTGTCATATCCATAAACTGACAGATAATTCAAAATGGCCAACTGTCAAAAAAAGGCGGGAGAAAATTCTCGTAACCAACAATCTTTTTAATTCGTAAAATTTTATATTGAGAACAAGTTATCAATTTTTAATACATAATCAACATATTTTTATAATATTTTTTACACGTATTTATGTACATAATGGTCCTAAACTTTGTACCAATAAAATTTTCTTACAATATATAAAAAATATTCGATTTTATATATTTTTTTTTTATTAATAACGACGTGGACGTTTAATATACTTATTTTAATATATTTTTTGTTAAATTAAATCTAACGAGTTTATGATTTGTTTCGTTTCTTGAAATTGTAGTAGAGAAAAGATACTAGTGTGGGGCGACGTTTTATTTTAAAAGGATAACAGAAGACAAAAAGAAAATACTATCTGTATACATGGTAGGTATATTTTTCATATACATTTATTTTTCCTTCATTAGGTTTTTGAAAATTATTCTTGAATTTGTAGTGGAGAATAGAGATGTCAGTCGCTACATGTACTCTACACACCATTATAGAGGTACACCAAGCTATGCAAAACCAGTGTTAACTGATGGTCGAATGTACGGACAGATCATACGAAACGAGACCACGAAACACTGAGTGCTGTATAGCTCGTGTACAATACAATTTGTTTGAGTAAAGGCAGCTAGAATTAAACTGTCAAACACCAAGCGGTCACCGGTGACCGCAACCTATTGTTCTATAATTGTGTCTACAAAACCGGTACTCGACGAGTTAATAGATTAAAAATATGTAATACATTATATGCCACTCTACTATATCATTTTACAAAAAGAAAAAAAAGGCAAATTATAGTTTTTTTAATTACATTTGCAATGTATACAGTGTGATGTTTTTCCTGTTTCTCTTATACAGAGTGTTTGAAATATCGTTACTTAAAGTTTTGAATTTTGTAGAAAACAGAATATAAAAATTAAAATTATTGTCCTTATATCTATTGTCATATCATTCCAAAAAGGGTGTAGGCAGAAATATACTGAAAACCACTTTCATCACTTATATTATTAGTCTCATTGTAATAAGGCAAGCCTTTTGCCAAGCAAAGGCTAAAATTCCAGATTTCATACTATCACTGAGAAGTAAAAAAATAAAAATCTAACTGGTATTTACCTTTTAGATGCACTATATTTGACATAATTAACACACAGCTACAGTCTATTTTCGACTGACCAAATGATTTGACGTCTATAGTAAAAATTCAAGTATCGATATTTGAAACACCCTGCACACAAATTCGTACATCCAGGGTGAACTTTTAATCTGAGACTGGCAGACATAACTAACAATTGAATTTATACGAAGAAACAGAAGTCGAGCAAATTAAAACCAAAGACTACGTTTTGGTTTTAACTTATAATATACTAGCTTTTACCCACGGCTTCGCTCGCGTCACAAAAAGATAAAAAGTAGCCTACGTGACATATACCAATACACACAGCGCCATCTATACTAATACTTTTGTTTTCCCTAGGGAATATAAATTTTTCTGGGATAAAAAGTACCCTATTATTTAATCCGGACTTCTAACTTTACTTCTGCAAAAATTCAAAGCGATTGATTTGAATTTTTTTTTAGTAGTTACGGCGTGAAAGTGGAACAAACAAAAAACAAACAAACTCACTTTCCGATTTATAATATTATAGTAAGGATAACTCCCATGTCTCCTACTACGATTCCTACTTACCTCTTTCGCTTCATCAACAGTCATTAATCAACAGTCATATCTTCACTACGTTTTAAATCAATACATAGTATAAAACAAAGTCGCTTTCGCTGTATGTCCGTATGTATGCTTAGATCTTTAAAACTACGCAACGGATTTTGATGCGGTTTTTTTTTAATAGATAGACTGATTCTTAAGGAAGGTTTGTATGTATAATACATGCATATTGCACCCGTGCGAAGCCGGGGCGGGTCGCTAGTATCTTATATTTGTCTCTGACGGTCTTTCTAAAGACTTCCATTTCAAAATGTGTATAATTTCAGTTCTACAGTTAGGTCTGTTAAAAGTCCACCCACAATTCGTATTAAAAACTTAAATTAATAACTTCTATTTAATATAAGACTCTGACTTACTTACATAAGTAACCTATGGAGTTTTTGCTCGTTCTTCTACATAGGAATCTACACATAGGAAGAAGCAAATACCTTCACTTGAGGACTGACTAACAGAGTAACATTGAAATTTTTTGTATGACGATTTAAGTGCCTTCCTGGGCCATTAGCCAAACGCCACTTTAGCGCTTGTCTACAGAAGGAGTAGAAATCAAAATGTATGGGGATGACACTGACAAGTGTCAAAATTTACGTCAATTCCATATAATTTGGTTTTCTATTCTACATGTAGACAAGCGCTAAATGGCATTTGGCTACAACTGCTGGACCTTTAGCCAAACGCCACTTTAGCGCTTGTCTACAGAGAGAGTAGAAATCAAAACGAATGGGGATGACACTGACAAGTTTCAAAATTTACGTCAATTCCATATAATTTGGTTTTCTATTCTACATGTAGACAAGCGCTAAATGGCATTTGGCTACAGCTGCTGGTCTAAATCATCTAAGTCAAAATAAGTGATTTTGACTTCTGACAGACATTGTATATCCCTACGTACGCTTTTATCTTTAAAACTACGCAACCGATTTCGATGCGGTTTTTTTAAACCGCTGTTAGAATATAGAAGAGGTAAGTCAGAGTCTTTTATATATTGTAAATCTTATATATTAAATAGTTATACAGGGTTTAAGCGGACCGCTCCCGAAAAACACTGACTGGTGATTGTCAAACAAGTCTTATTTTAATAGCCGTAATCAACCGCTCAACGCTGATTTTTTTATGGGATTTTTTTTAAAGGGGGTAAAATCATCGCGTGACTGCTCCCGCCTGGGTGAGGCGGGAGGGAGTGTCAGACTCTTACTGACTAAAAACCACCCCGTTCCTACTCCAGCCCTTCGAGCCGAAGCCCGGGCAACCCGTTAAGTCCTCCACGGCTCCGTATAGGCATTAGCCCTATCCGTGGTGGTCTGATGGTTATTTATTATGGTTTGATGGTATGGTTTTTATGGGATGAGTCGGTATACGAGCTGACGGATAACCTGATGGTACGCAATAGGCATCGCTCATGGACACCTGGAACACCAGAGGCGTTACAAGTGCATTACCGGCCATCCTTTTGGAATTAGGAATTATAGGATTATTCGGGATTCAGGGAAAGTGACGGGGGGGGGGGGGATTGGGCCTCCGGTAATCTTAGTCACACGACGAAGCTGTTACATGAACGTAAAAAAATGTCAGCGTTTTTCGAGGGCGTTTCGTTAACACCCTGTATGTATAATAATGTTCCCGACATTAATATCTATATATATATCTATTTTTGGTCTGTATATAAGTGTGTATATGATACTTAACTATGCTTGTATGTTGGTATATGTATATCACGGATTCTCCTTCTTAATTTTTAAATCCAGGACGCCATCTGTAATTTGAAAACGGAATTATATAATTAAATTTTTTCAACAAACAAGTTTGACTGTACGGTTAGCGCGGTGGCTGGGCAATTGGCTGCTACGCAACGTCTCGCAGGTTCCATTCTCGTACGGAACAACTCTTTGTGAGATCCACAGACTGTTGTTCCGGGTCTGGGTGTCATGTGTATTTGAAATTGTATGTTTTTAAACGCACCCAGTACACGGGAGAAAATCCTAGTGTGACGCAACGTCTTTCTTTTTTAAATAAAAATATAAATAAAAGAAATATGGTCAGGCTAAATATTAAACGGGGATTTTTCGGAAATTCCTCATTAGTAAAGTGAGCGGGATTACCGGATTTTGCTCAAATCCCTATCCCCCAAAAGGCCGGCAACATAATGGGGACATTTGCTTTGCTGATTGAATGGCCTCGGCCAACGTAGCAGTCATAATAAGAACTCACCATTATTATCAGAATAGACGCAAGTAATTCTTCTCGGAGCTAACTGCTTCCTCCCATGGCTTTTTCTTCTCCCTTCTTTAAGAGACAAATTCAATACTCCGTCATCACTCTCGAGTAACTTCAAACTATCTTCACCATTAAAAACCATAGACTTAATATTCGAACTCAATTTTTCATTTGATATAAAAACTGTTTTTGCAAAAACTTTTTTCTTTTCAACCTCGTTTTTGAAAATGTGATTGACGCTCTGTTGTACTAGTTTGTCTATGCGGCATTCGAATATATTTTTTTCTGTTTTTTCAAAACATTCTGGTATGAGAGGTGTTTTAGTTTCTGTGACGGCGATCTTTTTAATTGGTATCGTAGTTTGAGATTCTTTCTTGGTATCTAAATCTAATATTGGCACTTCGGTTGAGTCTGCTCGATCTTGTAGAATCTGAAAATTGATAAAAATGTTAATTAAATATACCTCTCTGCCTATCTCTTATGAGAATGTAGATGGGTTTTATTTTGTACTAGCTGTTGCCCGCGACTAGGTCCGTGTAGAATAATGCCTTCTGGCAGAATTTTCTCTTTATCAAAGGATATTCTACGGTAACGAATGTCGTCAGAATTGATTCAATACCTAGTATAGATTTCCTCCCCTGTAGATGATAGCGTGATAATATGCAGCCTATATGTTAACACGACTTGTCAGTAATATTCATGCAAAATTTGAAGTAAATCCATGCAGCACTTTTTGAGATCATCCCGGACATACATACAGGCGAGCAGACAAAAATTTTAAAAACCATATTTTTGGCTTCGGTGTAGATAGATGTAAGTATATACATATATTGTACTAGCCGACCCGGCAAACTTCGTACCGCCTAAAAATTTGTTTCTAACCTTTTATACCTTCCCTGGACTTCCACGATCATTTCAAGACCAAAATTAGCCAAATCGGTTCAGCTATTCTCGAGTTTTAGCGAGACTAACGAACGGCAATTCATTTTTATTTATATAATATTGTATGTATATTAAAATAATGATATTGTTTACTGTTGCATAATGACATGTATGTATATGTGTTTATAGAAATAAGATGTCCTATAAGAATTATGTATAGAGCTCCTTTCGCCTGCGATACAGGATTGTTCTAGTGCAGACATCCAACTTTATAAGATCAATTTTACTTACTTACGAAATATTTTGTATATAGCATTTTTGAATTATGGACAAATTTTATTATTATTATAATTAGTGAGAAATAAATTGCTTTGGAACTTCTTGGCGGGAAAAATTTATACCCGACAGGCAGTACAAAAAACCTTAGAAGAATTTGTTGCCTCCCGACCAGCTGATTTCTTTAAGAAGGGCATCACTAAACTGCCACTGCGTTGGCAAAGATGCATTGCAAGGGTGATTACGTTAATTAATACAAAAAAAAATACAAGAAAAATTATAGGGGTAATAGGGGTGGTAACCCCTGCTCTTTCCGTGGGTTTTAAAACCTACACCTCTACCATGAGTAAGTATTTGTTGATACTCGATAGCGAGTATTTTATTTGTATGGCAAAGGATTTAATATTTTGGGACATTTCTGAAGTCAAAGTCGTTCATAGTTGCCAGCTAACGAAAGAAATTAAATTCTTTCCGAAAACGCATCCTTTTAGTTCCATAAGTGTCCGCTAGAGGCGCTGTAAATGTTGCCATATAAAAAAATTACATCGTTGTAGGAATTTAGGGATTTAGATGGGAGGATTAGGCCTCGCTCACACGAGTATTCTACAGCGCCTCAAACGGTCATTTTCGGAACTAAAATTTGATTTGTCACAATTATGTACGTAGAGATTTGGAGAATAGAGTTGCTGATAAAGTTATATTTTTTAACTTACCTGGACAATATGCCGTCTTAATCTAAGACAGCTGGCCCGAACATTATCCCTCTGCGTCATAAGTGACCTCCTCTCAGCAAGCGCATCGTCTCTGCAGGCTCGAACCGCTCGCAATTCTCGAGCTAAACGCCTGAGGTGCTCGACACTACGACGTCTGCTGTTTTGGGAGGCTAGCTGTGGGAAGAGATAGTTAGAATTTTAACCCTTTGGAGGACCGTCATTATAGACACAATTAAAGAACAATAGGTTGCGGTCACCGGTGTCCTCGCGGTGTATGACAGTTTAATGGTATTTAGTCAGTATCATAATATCCCCGAAAGTGTTTTTTTTAAGGGGGGAAAATCATCGAATGACTGCTCCCGCCTGGGTGAGGCGGGAGGGAGTGTCAGACTCTTACTGACTAAAAACCACCCCGTTCCTTCTCCTGCACGTCGAGCCGGAGCCCCGGTTACCCGTTAGGTTCTCCGCGACTCCGTTGAATACTTATTTGTATTGGGCCCCATCTGTGGTGGTCTGATGGCTCTTTGAGGCGCGC